TAACATGGCCATGCAGCCCAAAGCCCACTGTTATCCCAGCAAACCTCGACATCCATGGGATGTCACACCCAACGCCATGACCTCTTAACCTTGACCTCTCGGCCTCCACCTGTTTGCCCTACAAGCCACCTGCCTACCCCCGACCACACCCTAAGCCTTGTAAGCCACCAACCGCACAATTGAGACATCTCCCTCTTGCCAACATCATGTACTTGTCCAGTTTATTGACTTATTGTTCCCATCCCATTGTTTTTTAACCCATCAGGACCTCCCACCCACAGTCATCCCCACTTTCTTTCCAGCACAGGCCCTAGGGCCCAGCACCCAGGTCAACCTCCCTCCAATATGCTGCTCTTCCCTGGCCTCATTTCTTTGTGTCACATGCCCAGGGTAAAACCTCTGAGTCAAGTGGATGAAACCAACTGTTTGCCTCTCCTGTGCCTGTCCTGGGCTGAGGAACACCCTCCGGGGGGAACCCATACCGCTGCCAGGCTCGTGCCCTCAGAAGCTAGTGCCCACCCATCTCCCCTGAAGCCTCAAAGCTGAGAACAACTTTTAACACAAATTCCAGTTAAAAAAAAAATAAGGAAAGCCATGTTCTAATTGCCAGAGATGTAAGAAGAAGAGGAGGAGGAAGAAGAAGGAGAAACTTGAACTTAAATGAATTCACAACAGTGAATGGCTCTTAGACTTTGAACACTTGACTTATGTCAAGTCTTGAACACAAGACTTACGTCAGGGGCACCTGGGTGGCTCAGCCGGTTAAGCGGCTGCCTTCAGCTCAGGTTGTGATCCCAGGGTCCTGGGGTCGAGCCGCATCGGGCTCCCTGCTCAGCAGATGGTCTGCTTCTCCCTCTCCCTCTCCCTCTGCCTGCTCCTCTGCCTCCTTGTACTGTCTCTCTGTCAAATAAATACATAAAATCTTAAAAATAAATAAACAGATAAATAAAAAGACATGTCCTGGCCAGAGGAGCTGAGAGGTGAAGTCTCAGTGCTCAGGCACACAGACAGCTGGGTCTACTCCATTTTATGTCAGAGCTGCAGAGGGCAGTGCTCCCCATAAAACAAGACACAAACCCTCATCTCCAGCCCAAGCCATGACACAGAGGAGGACCACATGTCCCAAGTTCCTGTGGGAAATGAGGGTCCCAAGTCAGCAACGTGGTGTGCATGCTGTGGGAAACCTGAGCTGAGAAGATAGCATTGGAGTCTATCCGGACCTAACAGAATCTCCCAGGTTCCGGCAAAACCAAACACGGCCCTGTCCCGCTGCGGTGCCTCCCCTATCCGGGCTACTGGGATTGGGGGCGTCTCATGGAAAACATTTCCTGCTGAAGATGAGCTCAAGGGAGAAGAAAAATCCTAGGCATCTAGCCAAGGAGAGCCAGCAGATAAAAGAAACAAAGAGACTCAGGGCCCAGAATGTAGAGATAATAGAGCAACCTAAAAGGGAAATAAAAAAACAGTGTGTGAAATGTTCAAACAAAATAAAGAAATAAAAACTAGAAGACAAGAACTACTAATTATGAAAATGGCAGAGTTTAAAAAAGATCAACATTTTAAAATGGCATTAAATTAGAAACTTAATATGATTCGACATAATTGAAGAGAAAAAATGGACTCAATCGAGAGACACATCTGCAGATGCTGTCCCTGTTGACTGAGATGGAAACCAGAAGGGGGAAATTAATAAACTAGGAAAGAATGAGGAGCTACAGCCATGGCAGCCCATTCTTTCATCCCCAGTGGTTAAAGGATAAAACAAAGGCTCTGGAGCTCAAACACACAAAGGAACAAAGCCTTTTGCTGACTCACCAGGCCAGAGAGCAAACACCAGGAGAGAAACCCACTGAGTGCTCTGCTAAGAGAGAGAGTCAGCAGACTCTCTAGAAGGTTCTGGAAGGACTGGTGGGGCTGATCAAAGATGGAGAACTAGCACTCTGGATGGAACAGAATGCGTTCCTAGGTCTGTACACAGCTGCTTAATACATGCCCCATGTTCCTGGACCAAGGGGGTCTTCACTCAGGCCTGACCCGTCAGGTTGACTCCACGTCTGGGATCAATACTCAAGAGGGATACCTGCCATAGGTTAATTTTCACCACAGTGACAATTTCAAACCACCTGCCTCTGACCTCACTACTTCACCCCACACTCAGCACCCGTAATCGTCTCCAGACAAATACCACCTCAGAGCAGTGGAAAGAAAGTCCTCTCTTTCCTGACATGGCCCCATTCCCTGCCCATTTCCCTCAAATTTCACAACAGAGGGTTGGGGTTGGGCTTTGGGTTTTCCTTCCTGACTAATGCCAGAGTCTCTGCTCATACCCTGGCTCCTATTCCCTACCTGCCTCTTATGGAACTGGTGTCTCTGTTGTCCCCTCTCCTGCATCTTCATCCTTCTCTGCACTCGAAGAGCATTAAACACGTTCAATCCCCCTCCTTCCTTAAAAACACCTTCCTTGGCCCCACACGCCCTTCCAGAGAAAGCCACCCTCTGCTTGTGTTGCCTTCATTCTGAGTCTGTTGCTCCCACGTCATCCATGTCTACACGGTACCCTCCCATGCCCACGCTCAGCTGAGTGGGAGCACGGCAGCTCCTGTCACCCTTGGGCCATGAGTGAAATATGGGGCAGAGGATCTTGGCACCCCAAGATCATAACATTACTCAAGAGAAGTCCAGCTCAGCCTAGCTAGGAGCACCCACAGTGCACTGGGGCAGCTTTGGCCAGCCTTGTGCCTGGGTGTGGTCTTCACAGTGTCTGCCTGGGCTGTGGGAAGGACAGGCTATGGTGATTTCCCCCATGGGGAGCCCTTCCAGATAACTCAGACAGTCACCCCAGGGAGGGGCCCGCTATCCATTCGCTGACCCCCGGGCCTGGGGCTCACTCAGCAGGGCCAAGGGAGCTGCCCACATCTACCCAGGAGTGAGGAAAGGTCATTCAGGAGGGGGAAGCAGGCACAAGGGCAGAACGTGGGTACAAGTGGGCAGGTGAGAGTCTCCAGAGTTGGCATGAGGACAGAGGCCCACGGCATGTGGGACCCAGTGGGCGATCCAGGGAAGGGGCTGATGAGCCCAGAGACCCTGCAGGAGCAGATGGCGCCTCTGGACTTTCATCTCTGGGGTGGGAGTTGCCCAAATCCTTGATTCCAAGTCCTTGGAATCAAATCTTCGGAATCAAATCCTTGATTCCAAAGGATAGCCAAGGCTCAGAACCACTGATGAGGAAGGGGAAGAACAGAGGGTCCAGGAAGGAGTCCTGGGGGTCAGTTAGGGTGATAATCACGAGACTAAAAAGGCTGGCAAAGGGTGCAGGATATCCCAGAAGGGAAGCAAGAGATGGGCTGGGGAAAGAAGGTGAGGTTCTGGCTGTTGGAGCAGTCTGCACAGAGCCTGAGGAGAGAGCACAAACGCTGTTGGGGCTTGGTCTCATCCGGTGACCTGTCTGGGTCACTGTGCACTGCAGACCCTCAGAGAGCCAGGTCACGTCTGCACCAATCTCTGTGGTCTGTCCTGGTCTCAGTGCCTGGCATGGCTCTCCGGGCTCTGCTCAGGGCATACCACGCCGGCCCTATCTAAGGTCATCTTCATAACTAGACTTTGACCACAGCCTCCCAGAGGGTACCTACTACCCAGACACGCCCAGGCCTTGGTGCGGACACCCCCTAACTGGCACATGGGTGTGGGTAGCTGAAGTCCCGAGAAGGCCCACCAGGGAGGGCACCTCCCTTATGACCAAAGGACTCCCGAGAAGAATGGGAAGTCTGGGCCTCCAAAGGCGGGGATAGACCTTTCTCAGTCTGTGTGACCAGAGGCAGGCTGAACGCTTCCTCTTCAGATGGCATCCCACAATTCTCTCTAGCAGTTATCCCTAGTCCTCCGGCTGCTCTGGGTGGTGCCTGCCCCCACTATGCAGACCAGCCCAGCTCTGTCCCCACCCACCCCATCCCGTACTTCCAGAAAGAACAGCCTGGAGACACTGTGTGTGTGTAAAGCAAAGAGTGCTAGACTCCGGGTCAGGAAACCAGACGACTTTGCATCAAGGGACAACCCTTATCTGTTACTCTGGAAGGTTTCCCTGAATACAAAACAATGACACCAGCATGGAGCTAGCTTTCACTCAGAAGGCAGGACATCCTCAAAGCCCCAGTCTCCCCCGACAGAGGCGCCTCGGGGTGGTCCCTGAGGCACTGGTGTTTCCCCTGAAGGGCAGGTTAAGAGTTGGATGGAGAAAGTCTGCTGCGGAACATTCTAGTCAGGGGACCCAGGGAGAATTTAAAAAAAAAAAAAAATTTCTTCCAGAGAGGAAAAAATTAACCTCTTCCCAGTCTGCCTCCCTCGACTGGCAGCTGTGGTGTCGTGCGGGACCCCGCCCCGGGCAGGCGCAGAGCGGAGCCCAGAGAACTGGTGGGTGCCGACTCTGCTTCTCCCGAGCAGTGGGACACGTGCAGATGATCTGAGCTCTGGAGCCTGTTTCTTCCTGCAGGACACGGAACTTAACACTTGCCGCTCAGGACTGAGGCAGAGAATAAAGGGGACAGATGGGTCACAGGGATTAAAGAAGTCTCCAGACTTAAGAGACACCCCCAAAAAATGGAGGCTGCTCATACTTATGTCCTCTGCCGGGCTCCCCACTACACTGTTAGTGGTGTAGAAACTGTGCAATTAAAGAAAGGGAGACATAGTATCCTTCCCTTTTTTCTACGGCTCAGGTCTGGCAAAGACAGTCTGAAACTACAGCTGTGGTTACTAAGTGGGGTGGTCAAAGGCTGGGACTCAGAATTTCCAGCTGACATTACAGCCTCAGCCCAGACATCTGGCAGTGAGTGGCAGCATTCCACAGGCGGGCTTTGGGTGGTGGCTGGCTGGGTGCGGCCAGGGAGCCCCGGGAGGGGCCCAGAGCCAGGCGGAGCCCAGAGGGGAAGGGGTGGGGCCTGAGGCCCCACTTTCACCACCACACCCAACACCCAGCCCCAAGGACCTGGCTTCTTATATGGGAGACAGTGTTGTGGGATCTCCCGAGTAGAGAGAAGGTTGACTTGTAGATCTTCATTTCCCTGGGAAAGACAATCGAGAGAACAAGATGGCCTGGTGGAAAGCCTGGGTAAGTGGGGAGCAAGCCGCGGTGGGCTGTGGGGTTCCTGCAGAATGCCGGTGGAGAGAGGCCTGCTATCTGCTGGCCAAGCACCAGGCTGCCCACTGAGGGGGGAAGAGAGAAGAAACCGTCCCAGCCCTAGAGGCGCTCACAGCTAGTGAGACAGATAAAGGAAGCTTTTCTTCTTAAAAGATTTTTTTTTTTTATTTATTCATCTGAAAGAGAGACAGAGAGAAGACAAGCAGGGGGAGAGGCAAGGGGGAGAGAGAAGCCGACTCTCCAGTGAGCTGGGAGCCCAATGCAGGGCTCGATCTGAGGACCAGGAGACCATGACCTGAGCCAAAGGCAGACACTTAACCAGCTGAGCCACCCAGGCACCCCCGGATAAAGGAACCTTGAGATGCACTTAAGGAAGCTGAGGGGATGGGGAGCCCAGAGGAAGAGCAGCGACGGGAAGTGTTAGGCTGCTCGAAACTAGGGGGTGTCATGTTTGAGTGAGATGCGCATGTGTGTGGTATGTGTGCCCACACATGTGTTTGAGGAGAATCAGGCAGATTGTTCCTTGCAAAGGGAAAAGTATGTGCAAAGGCCCGGGGGCAGTGAGGGGAGGGAAGCTTGGCTTTGGAGAGAAGTAGCTCGTCATGGCCTGAGGGCCCTCTGGGGTGGGGGGGCAGAGGAATCAGGGGAGATAGACCTAGAGAAGCAGGCAGGACAGCTCCTATAAAGCCTCACATGGCAGGATAAGGGGCTTGGGCTTTACCTTAAGAGCAGTGGGGAGCCATTGAAGGCACTTGAGCTGTTGAGCAGCACAATCAAATCGGCTGATGGTGGAGATCTCGTCGATGCCCACACCTTAGGGCATGGGAGGGCAGGCAGTCTTCTAGAAATCCATGGTGTTTATTCAACAAGATTGAGGAGAAAGGAGGGAGGGCAAGAGGACCTGGCCTACAGGGGCCTTGAGTGTCTGAAACCTATGCTTTATAGAGTTCTGGAGGACTGAGGCGGGGAAGACAGCACAGCCTGTCCCCAAGTCTCCCACCTCACAGCTGAACTACCAGATTCTTGGGAGTGTTTCATCTGGGTTTGAGTCGAGGCCATCTTGTCCTCATGAGCTGAAGACACAAAGATGACAAGCCAATGACATCTTCTGGCCAGGCATGACTCCTTCATTTCATCCCCCAGGCAGCCCAGGACATCAGGGTTGCTCTTCCCTTTCCATGGATGAGGACACTGAGTCTCAGAGACACCAAGTGACCTCTGGGTCCCACAGCAAGCAGTCAGGGGTCTCTCCACCCCCTCCCCCAGGCACTCTGTGAGCCACAGTGGATGACCCAGCCTTATCCTGCTTCAGGAAATCTCTTTGTCACACATGGGACAACCCAGGGGCTGATGGGTTCAGACATGCCAGGCCTGGACAGTCAGGACAGAGAGGCAGCTAGGGACAGGGATAGGGGGGCAGCTGTCTGGGCCCCAGCACAGCAGCCAGGACAGGTCAAGGGCCTAGAGCAGCCTCCTGTTTCCACCTGGCCAGTGGGAAGCTTCTTTTGAGGAAGCAGGCATGGCAAGGAGAGCCCAGTGCTGGGCACTCTTCCACAGTCAGCTGCTGCCCTGGATGGCCTGATTCTAGGCCTTGCTCCCAGGGGACCAGGGGCCCCACCCAACCAGGCAGGCAGAAGCCTCCTTGCAGGGACCTGGCCCACCTGGCAGGTTAATGGTGACCCTCACCGAGCACCTACTGTGCGCCAGACATTCCTCTAAGCATCTCACTTCTAAGCGTCTCGCTTAAGCCTTGAACACCTCTACAAAACGGACGACAGTATCTTTATTCACAGATGAAGAACGGAAGCACAAGGAGCCTCAGCGGATGCCCAGGGTTGCCGCACGAGCAAGTGGTAGAGTCTGGGTTAGAATCAGAGCAGCCCAATTCCAGAGCCCAGACTGGGGGCCCTGGCAGCCCACAGCCTACTGGCTTGGGCAGTAAGACCACAGGCAGGGCCCGCCTGTGACTGGCTAAGGACCAGATGTCCTCTGGGCCCCCAGCCAGACCAGGACAAGGACTGGGGGTGTTGGGGGGTGAGGGTATGAAAGATCAGCTAGAGGGACCTGTCTGTGCCTCTCTTACAGAAATGAAGTTCTGTCTCACAGGTTCCCCAGGGCAGGCAAAGGTGGGGCAGCTCCTCAGAACTGAGCTCTCACAGACAGAGTCACGGGTAGGACTGAGTCACCTTCTCAGTGAAAATATTCCTGTCTGGACAAGCCAGTCTGGGCACAGGGCCCCGGCAGGTTCTCTAACAGCGGGGCCTTTCAGATAGGAAGATCTGGTGCCCTACCCCACCCTGCTGATGTTCAGGGGTCTGATTCCAGATAATGGTACTTTTTATCCCCTAAAACCACAGAGAAGGAAGAGAGACTGAGGCTCCTCAATGCCTCAAAAATCACAACCCCCCGGGAAGTGGGTTGACAACTGTTCCCCCTAGAGCTGACCTCGGACCCGCTAAAGGGGCCGCTCCCAGGGACTCAGTCCCATGGTCTGGCCAGTCCCTGATGCCCAGCACCATGCGTTGGCCTGGGGGCAGGGAGACAGCCCCTCTCGGGTGGTCCCCAGACCTCACACTCCCTCCCGGATCACCTGCATTCCTGTGGACAAGGCTTCCTTCAGTAGAGAGTTCCGGGAAAATTCCCTGTCCTGAAAAAGTTGAGTCATCAGTAGAGTAGGGGGAAGTAGACAGAGCTCAGCTTCTGAGTCAGGCTAGACTTGATGTGGTCTAGCCACATCAGCTTGACAAGCACTCTGAGCCCAGCTCCCTTGCCTGTAAAATGAGGCATTCATGGTTAGAGAGGTCCAGGAGTATGAGCACCGTACTTCTGGCCCTGGAGGCATCAAACACAGAGGCCTGGCACAAAGCAGCCGCTCAGTGGCTAAGGGTGGTCACGGCAGCTCAGACTCCACAAACAAGGGATACTGTGTATGCGTGCACACAGCAGGGCCACCTCTGGGACCATACAGGCTCTTCTGGGTGGAATCTGCACAAGGGATTATTTCTAACACTTTTTGCTGAGAAATACGGTGCTCAAAAATGAGATAGGAAAATGTTAGCAGACATTTGAAATTCAAGCAAAGGGAACAGAAAGACCTTTTACCTTTTACTCAAAAGCGATATCCCTACAGATAGCCCCACAGATGGCAATCTGCCAGGTATTTTCAGGATCTAATTAGAGCTTGAAGGATGGAAGGATGGATGGATGGATGGATGGATGGATGGATGGATGGATGGATACAGTGATTAAATGAATGGCTGGATGGGTGATTAGATGGATGTAAGGATGGATACAAGGATGGACATGATGATTAAATGAATGAATAAATGGTTGGATAGATGGATGGATGTGGCCATTGAGTATCTGGGTGGAGAATGGATGACTAGATGAATGAATGAATGGGTTGGTGGGTGGGAAGGTGGGAAGGCAGATGAGTGGATGAGGGGCAGACAGAAGGAGGAAGTGAATAGTTTCATGGGAGACCAAACACGATGGGACTAAACTTCTTTCAACTCCTCCTTTCCACTGAGGAATCTCTGAGTCTTCTTCAAATTCAATGCCCGTCTCCAATCTCCCTCCACTCCTCTACCAGCCTCCTAAAAGCATATACTTAAGAAAGATCATTTATTTTCATCTGAGAAATTCTACAAGGCACAAGGCTAAAGAGTCCTCAGGCGAGCCCTGGGGTTCGAGATCTGGCTCAGAGCAAGGGCCCAAGAACTCTGGTTATTGTGTTTACTTCACAATTTCCAGAGCAGCATGCCGTTCTTTCTAAACCTAACCTTCTGTCCTCCATGAGCCTGCGCACTTTCAAAGGCTCTGGGCTGTTGGGTCTCTACCTGCTTGTGAACACCCACTTCTCAGAAAGAAGGCAGCTTGACCTCAAACCACACCTCTCTTCCCAACCTTGTCTGCACACTCTCAAAGCAGCACATGCAGCTCCACGAAGCCTGTCCTTACTTGCCCATTGCCCTGTGGTTTGGGGGTAGGTGGCCCTTTCCCACCGACAGCAGTGCCTGTCAATGGTGCTGGAGGGAGCTCTGGGGTGTGGGTGGGCAAGCCTGCTGTTTGCCCTCAGATGACGCCAGCGGGGAGAGGCTTGGCCTGATCCACAGCCCACACCCCAGGGCAGGAGCGGGAGCAGGAAAGATTCTGTGGCTTCTTCCCACAAGCTGTGGTTCTGGCTGGTGTCAGCCTATTAATCAAAGAGCCATTCTGTGGAGGTGACATGGCAGCCACAGAGCCCAAAGGGGAAACAGCAACCCCTCACAGCCAGGCCAGGCAGGCTATGGTCTCTCACAGTACTCTCACTTAATGGTAGCTTCCCTACTCAGCTGATGCCTCTGAGGGCCTGGCTTGAGTCACAGAACCCCCCCACCCCACCCCAGGAGATTAGATGCAGCCTGCCTAAACCCAAGAAAGCTACCTCCCATAGGACATCCTGCTCTTTGTGTTCCTTCATAACCCCTGTACGCACACCCTGTGGTGTCCCCACCCCTTCTCCCAAGTTCCTGTTACCCCCAGTGAACCTCCGGCTAGCCACGGGAATCCTATCACAAAAGATCCAGGGACAGGTCTGGCAAGGAGGCTGAGGCAGGGAAAACTGTGGGACCCTTCTGAAGACAGCCAGGTGGCCAGGAACACACTCGTGGTCATTGTTGTGCCTTGTCACCCCCAATAAAATCACTGCTGGCCTTCTCTGGGGCCAGCCCCCTCTCCTAGGACTTCCTCCCAGTGCTTCCTTCCTCCTGACACTGAAGGCTGGGCGGCGGGTCTGCACACGGCCACAGTACCAGCCACCTTCTAGGGTCAGTGTACGCCAGCTCCGCAGGGCTGGCCCTGGTGCTGAAGGCTGAGATTCCCCCCACTCATGGTGGCCCTGGATGCAGACGAGCTCGGTCCTGCCTCACTCCTCCTCAGGCGGCCCCTCCTTCCTCCTTGAGGCCTGAGCTGACAGGACAGGCCTCCCCTTAGCCAAGGCAGCTAAGGGCCACACGGGGCCTCCATACCCACCCCCAGGCTTCTGCAGCCCCGTAGTGGAAGACCCATAGGGCAACTCGGTGCCAAGTGGACCGAGGCACCCCTTCCTCGACACATATCTGCTGGTAACTGTCATATCCAGGAGCTACAGTCCTGGGCCAGGAAGGACCCCTCAGGCCTCCCTTCATCCAAGGCAGACCATCACAGAGACCCATGCCAGGCTGGGGCAGGAGGGACCCAAGCCTCCACCGTGATGGGCTGGTGATCTGCCCCCCACCCACCCACCCACCCCTGCCAGCCTTCCCACTTGGAATAAGCCTGGGCTCTTTTGCAGGTGGAACAGGAGGGGATTACTGTGAAGGGCAGCTCCCACTTTAACCCGGACCCCGACGCAGAGACCCTATACAAAGCCATGAAGGGGATCGGTAAGTTCATGTCTGCAGACCTGCCCACCGGCCTCTCTGGGGTCTGGCCACTCTGCTCAAGACCGTGAGCCCCACAGCTCCGGAGGGGTGTGGCCAAGGGACACTGTGCTCCCGAGACGGACTCCCAGCCCAGAGAAGCATGGGCGCTCCCATCCCAGCACTGGTCTACACCTCGCCCCCACGGCTGGAGAAGAGGGAAAGTGGTTGTGCCTCCCTGAGTCATGAGGGAAGGAAGGGGTCACCATCACCTGTGCGTGCCTGCGCATCCTTGTGTCGGCAACTGTACCCCACTCGTCAGAGCTTTCACACTCACAGAATGGCCTCGGGAACCTGGACCTGTAGGGCCGAGCTGGACTTCCCCATTCAGCTCGGGCTGGGCACAGTCAGCCTCTTTCCAGTCTCCGACGCACATTCCTGAAGCAAGCAAGGGGTTGCCCTCCTTCATAGATGAACCTTGACGGCATGTTCATGACCTCTGTTTCCTGTGAGATCTCTGCTGTTACCCCCACTTCCCAAAGGAGAGAGCAGATGCTCTGGGCAATGAGACAGCTGGGCCAGGACTCAAACCCAGTTTGCTGGGCCCTCAGTCCTGACTTGCCCCTGCCACCACCAGCCCGAGAGAGGACAGGGTAGAAGGTCCTCCTATCTGAGTACCAAAGTCCCCGGAGGATGTCCAGGGCAGATCAGATGATCAGAGGGACCTCAGCACTACCACTTTGAGACTGTCCTCAGACAGCACCCCAACACCTTGTGGGTGGGAGGCAGGGGAGGGATGGATAGATTTTCTGCTTGGGTGTTCTAGCTACACCATGAACATTTGTCAGTTCTGGGAGCTATCCATGCATTGTGTGCCCACTGCTTGGCCACCCAGCAGCTTCTCGCCCTCCTCCTCAGCCCCCTTGGGGGCCATAGGGATGTTCACACTGTGCACCCCTGCAGGGACCAACGAGCAGGCCATCATCGATGTGCTCACGAAGAGAAGCAATGCTCAGCGGCAGCAAATTGCCAAGTCCTTCAAGGCGCAATTTGGCAAGGTAAAAAAGGAGGACAGGAAGCTTTCCTTGGGAAGCTAGGGGAGCTGCTGTGGCCAGAGACAGCCTGGCAGGCAGCTTTGTTCTGGACCAGGCCTTTGGCTAAAGACCAGCTTCTAAAAGCATGAGGCACAGAGGGCATGCTTACACTAAAAATTTTATTAATTGTGTATCTGAAGTTAAATTTTCACTGGCCATCCTGTGTTTTATCTGGTTACATTATTTATGGCTCCCCACACCCCTGGCTTGGTGGCCGGCCTTGCAGTCCGCTGTACCCCTCCACCCCGTCTCTCTCACCGACCTCCTTTACTTTGTCTCCATGCCCCATCCTTGAGCTCGGTCCCTGCCTCTATGCTTTGTTCACGCTGTTCCCAAAGCCTGGGAATCCTCCTCTCACCTACATGCAGAGGAGCCGGCCAGGCTCCTTTCTGTCCTGCGACCTGTCCACTCTCTTCTCACGTTAGAGCTTCCATGTCTGTGCCTGCTCCCTCTGCCTCAAGGGAGCTCCAGGGGCAGGGAACACATGCACTGGACCCTTTTTCTCTCTTCCCTCCCTCCACCACCCCAGGATAGAGCCAGGCACTGGGGGTACTACCTAAACACAGAAACAAAGGCACACATAGCCTAGGCTGCCAGAAGCTTCTGTCGCTGCGTCTCCTTAGTTTGGAGATTGAACGTCAGAAGGTGAGTGATGAAGCCCAAACATTCCAAGGGGTGTCAATGCACGTCTTTCTTTCTTCCTGTCTTCCTTCCTTCCTTCCCTTTCTTTCTTTCTTTTTTTTTTTCCTTAATTTCTTTCTCTTAACTTTCACAACTGTGCATTATTTCCTACACTCATCATTAGGGAAATTGATGTTCTAAGAATAAGCTCTAAGAGTAACTGCCCAAGATCCCAGAGCTTATAAGCAACAAGGTTGGGATTTAAATCCAGGTCCAACAAGGCCCTTGGTCCTTGGCTATACTGTGCAGATCAGCAGGGTATGGCCTTGTGGCTCCTTGTGGAGACTGGTGCCGTTAGAAGCAGACCCACGTGAAATGGATTCCTTAATTCATTCCTGAATTTATTGAGTGCCCACGGGCTATGACGGGATTTGATGGTGAGCAATGACAAACACATATTTCGGGCTTATAATGTGCCCAGCATGGCCTTGAGAGCTGAGTCGAGCCACACACATCTCTCCACCGGTCCCCTAAGCAGTGGTATAAGGTGGGAGTCTCACGGTCTCCAGTCCACGGGTAAAGGTAATGCTGCTCACAGAAGCTGCACCGCTGGCCCGCAAAACCCCAGCTCCCTCCCACTCAAGGTAGAGGTCCTCCGGAGCCTCCAAGACTGGCTGCCACCAAGCTGCCTGCCCTTGGGGGGGGCACAATGTCCAGATCATTGCTCTTCCTTCTTCTCACATTAGGATCTCACCGAGACCTTGCAGTCAGAGCTGAGTGGCAAGTTCGAGAGGCTCATCGTGGCCCTCATGTACCTTCCGTACAGATTCGAAGCCAAGGAGCTGCACGATGCCATGAAGGTAGCCAGGGGGAGGGGCAGGAATGTCACAAGGGCCGGCTGGGGCCACAGCTGGGGACGCGTTCCCCAAGAGAGCCTGGCACTGGGACCTCCAAGCTCCCGGTGAACCACCCTTTGGAACGGCCCAGCCCGGGGAGCCTGCAGCCTGCTGCCCAGACGGGCCGGCTTTTGCTGTCATGTGGCCACCAAGAAGCCAGAATCGGCACTTCTCAGGACAGGGCCATACCAGGTGTGCAGGAATGACGGGGCGATCCCTGAAGCCTCTTCCCCGTCCTCTTCCTGCAGTCATCTCTTGTGACTCCCATGGCTCCTTTATCACTCGCAGAGAATGAGGAGGGAGTCAGGGCCCAGCGACTATAATCATCGCCGTTGAAAGGACACTCACTGGGTGTGCCCGCCTGGCCTTTCCCATCTGTTCTCTCCGATCCACCTTTGGGCTGGGCCGGCTCCTTACCCCCGAGGACGGATGAGGACCCCTAGGCTCGGCAAGGTGGAGTGACGTGCTAGAGACCACCCAGCATGGAGGGCAGAGCTGAGACAGAACTCTCCCATTGCCTCCCCTGCCCGCAGGATCCACCCCTGGAGACAAACACAGGCGACTTCCCCCAGTAACACCCTCCAGCAGAAGCCCCCATCAGAGGGGGGCAGCGCACTGACCAGATCTTCCTGAGGCTCTTCCTCTCGCCTCTTGACAGAGGAGGGTAGGGACAGAGCAGACAAGCCCGGCGGAGCTCTCCAGCTGACAGAGGTTTTTGTTCACAGGGCTTGGGGACCAAAGAGGCTGTCATCATTGAAATCCTGGCTTCTCGGACCAAGAACCAGCTGCGGGAGATAATGAAGGCCTATGAGGAGGGTAAGGGAGGATGTGGGGCCTGGATATAAGGGCTTGCTTGGGAATGGCCACAAGCTTTGGCAGCCTGAGAGGGGATGAGGGACAAGCAGTGCCCTGGGCCTTCGCTGGAAAAGACCCTTTCTGGGCTTTTCTATACATGGGTGCTGAGCACCTGCTCTGTGCCCAGTCCTGTGGTCTGATGGTCTCTATGCCTCCTGAAGCCCACGGGCTGCAGGGGAAGGGACATGTGCCCCTAAACTCTCTGCCCCTCAAGGGCATTGCAGTGTGGGTCCCCGGCTGTGTCAGCCCTGGATGGGGCTGGCTCCTTCCTGGCCAGGCACAGGTTGCCCCTGGGGACCGTGCAGGGCCCTGCTGCAGTGCGGGCTACAGACCACAGGCTGTTGTGGAGCCTTCGGGATGCAAGGTGACCAGAGGCCAGCCTGGCCTCCATGTGGTCTGCCCGACAGACAATCTGCCTGAAGATTCTGGCTTTGCCAAACCACAAACAAAGCGAGCTCCGTCGTCCCCTGCAGGGCTCTCAGCCTGACCTCGCTCTGTGCTTCGATCTACGCTGGCAGCCTGTGTTATGTTCTCCTGAATGACCGCCAGGTGGTGGAGCCCCTGCCACTCAGACCCCCGGGCGGTGTGTCCACTCCGATGACTCGTCCCTACCAGACGGCTTGAACTGGGAGAAGTGTGGGAAACCCGGGCTGGGAGGAGGGAAGCCAGTCCATGCCTTGTGGTCCTGTTTCCCCTGCAGACTATGGGTCCAGCCTGGAGGAAGACATCCGAGGAGACACCAGCGGCTACCTGGAGAGGATCCTGGTGTGCCTCCTACAGGTATCGGAGCCCAGGCTCCTGGGAGCCCCTTGCCTGAAGGACCCCAACAGCTGGGCTCCAAGGATCAGTCCTTGGGGAGAGCTGCTGGGGTGGGGTGAGGTCAGGGCCTGGGTAGGGCACCAGTAACCAGGCTCCTTGGATACCTCTCACCGTGGCTGGAGGATTCTCATGGCATGTCACTGACCCAGCCACAAGGGGACACCCCAGAACCAGGAGGAGACTACCCTGTCACCCAGCAGGTCCTACCCATCATGCCCCATGCCTGGCACTCTGCTCACCTCAACTCACTGAATCCCCCGGCTCCCTACGAGGCAGCCCTTACTACTGTCACTTTATAGATGACAAAATCTGGCCCTGGAGAGGGTAACTAACCTGCTAAAGTCCCCATGGCCAAAAAGCAGTAGAGCCCTGCCTGCCCTCCCGCCCAGCTTTCCCCTCTGCCCCAGTTGCTCTGCTGGGCTAGCCTGCTTTACATGCCTCCCCTTCTGTTCCTAGGGCAGCAGGGATGATGTGAGTGGCTTTGTGGACCCAGGACAGGCCGTCCAAGATGCACAGGTGAGGCCACATACATACACTCTCAGCAGCTACCGCCCCGTGGGCCACCTGCCCCATCTGCTGGGGGCTGATGCCTGGAAGCCCTACACAGCCCCTCTGTCCATGCGGGCTTTCTTTGACTCTAGGCTAGGCTGGGACCCAACTCAGCTCTCTGCAGAACTTTACCCTCTGGGGTTCCAGAAGGAAAGTGAGAGTGTTTGGGGGAGAGTCAGGAATAGGGAGGGGAGTGACTTGGGAGGGCTCCACTGTAGCGCTGTTCTAGCAGGAACAGCCCACGAACCTGGGGACCAGATGGCACTATTCAGATCACTATACTTCAGTCTACTGACAGAGTGCTAGGGATGCTCAGAGGCAGAGCAAAGCCCCAGGGGGAGGCAGGGGAGTTCCCAGAGCGGCTTCTGGCCCCATACCCAGAAGGGATTTTAGCCTCTCAGGGATAACAAGAGAAGAGAATGCTGACCTGGTAGGTAGATGGGGGCTGACCATCACCTCCTTCCTCTCCTTCACTGGCTTCTTGTGGCTGCCCCAATGCTAGGATCTGTATGCAGCGGGCGAGAAGATTCATGGGACAGATGAGATGAAATTCATCACCATCCTGTGCACGCGCAGTGCCACACACCTGATGAGAGGTACCAGGGTGGGGGAGGCACTGTCGGGCTCCAGCTGGGGGCCCTGGCCACATGGCCCGTCCCTTCACACGGGCCATCCAGTGTACGTCCTCATCTGGTAGCGATGCTGGGGAGAGAGCCAGGGAGATTGGACCCTTTCCCTGGCAACCAAGTGGAGGTCCGGGGTGACACATGGATGTGCGGTCTCGGATCTGAGATGCTGGTGGTGTCGCCCTGAGATCTGCATATCCCACAAGAGAAGATGTCTCTCTGCAGTGTTCGAGGAATATGAGAAAATAGCCGGCAAGAGCATTGAGGACAGCATCCAGAGTGAGACCCATGGCTCCTTGGAGGAGGCCATGCTCACAGTGGGTAAGACATGGGGCTTGGCGCTCAGACCCACAGGTGTCTGCAGCCATGGGGCTCAGCAGGGGGGCAGCGCCCGGGGTGGCAAGAGTAAACGAGTGGGTCCCTATGTCCACTTTCCATGGACCCTCTCCCCCCTCCAGGCCAGACACGCATGTACCCTTCAGCCCAGGACACTGGAACTATCCTGCCCTCGTGTCTTCAGTGAGTCAGGTCCTGCCCCCATAACCCTTGTGCTGTGTGAGTGTGCAAGCATGAGTGTGAGCATGGTGCAGGTGAGAACATGTGAGGATGTGAATGTGTGTGCGCACTTGCAGGATTATGCCCGACCCAGGGCCTGTGCTCACCCACGGTGGCCACACAGGGAACATCCTGGTTCTGATCATAAAGCCCTAAAGAAAATCACCTGTCTGGACCTTAGCCAGGGTGCTGGTCTCTGCCTCAGTGGCTCACTAAAGAAATGATGATGTGTAGTTGGAGTCCAAACTCAATGATTGATAGTCTGATGCTGGGCAGCCCTGAGAACCTTCCCTTAAGCATGATGTCAGGTCTACTTAGGAGGACCTGTTCCAGACAAAACCAAGATCACCGTGAAAGAAGTCATTGCACAGTGAGGAGCTGAGGCCCAGAGGCAGGGAGACTTTCCTCTCCTCCCATCCATGAAGGAGCCAAGGACAGGGCCCCAGGGTTAGGGTGCTCCCCTCCACACCGGGCTCTCCCCATTTTGTGGCGAGCAGTCCGGGGAGATCCACGACATGCCCAGGTCTTTCAGAATGGACTGGAACATCTGACTGTCCCCAGCAGGCTTTGGCTGCTGTGATAAAAACCTTCTATGTTGGAGCAGCTCAGCGTCCCCCTGCCCCAGGCTCAGCAAGTCAGCCCCTGCACTGAATTTGAACAACCTCCTGAATAAATCTTCCAGAGAGGAAAAGCAAGCCCCGGGTGCTTCCTACCCCCTTGCCCTTGAACACTCCCACAATTCACGCCACAGACGAGGACAGTGCAGAGCAGGCAAGTCAAAGAATGAAGTCATACCATGCCATCAGGGAAAAGCCAAACACCTGCCTCCTTCACACAAAGCCCACGCTCTTTCTGCTGCCCTGAGCTTAAGTGCCGAGCTCCCTGACCCAGATGCCGAGCCTCTGAAGTGGCATCCGTGAAAGCAAACAGGGGCCCACTCTCTGGGCCAGATGTCCCTGGGTGCCCCGGTGCTCCAGGGCTGGGCCCCACTGTCACGTGGAAACTCAAACGCAGGGACCTTCCTGATGAGTGGCAGTGTAAAGTGGGCACCCTGAGTCCCGTGGAGTGTTTGGGTGCCTGGCAAAGCTGGTTCCGGAGTGTAAGAGCCCAGGGATGGGGCTGGACAGAGCCATGTTCAGAGCGGCCAGCCCCGCAGACCCCAGGACATTTTCACCTCACCCTCTGCCTGCCCACTCTGTGCCTTTAGACCTGTGCCCAGTGACCTAGGCTTCCTTCCCTGTCCCACCCCACCCAACGCCAAGCCTCTCATTTTGGAACTAGGCAACGCATAAATAAATAGGCCAAAAACTTCCTAACAATCACCCTTAAGATCCAAGGCAAGACATAAATAAATACACATGCACCAATGCCCTACAACCTCAAGTTTTAACAGAGCTTTCCTGTTTGCCAGTGAAATGCACCCGGAACCTGCACAGCTACTTCGCAGAGCGACTTTACTACGCCCTGAAGGTAACTCTTCTGTCTTTGGTGCCCCCTGTTCTCAGGTCTACTCAGCGGCCGTTGCCAAGCCAAGGCACTCAGAGCCACTGCTGCCTCCGACACCTGTGTCTTCTCTATTTCCAGCCTCTTATGATCAGCATGCTATAGCTCTCAAAGGGTAAACTGAGTCTGGGGAGGGGAAGCCCCAGCTCCCGAAGGCTGAATTTGAGCAGGTGTTTTCACAGGTGTGCATTGCATCGACTTCTTGCAGCAATCCTGGGAGACCTAGGTCATAACTGCCGTGCTAGAGGTGGTGAAACCAAGGTTTGGGTCAAGGTCACACATCTGGTGACTGGCAGAACCAGTCCAGCCTCCTGTAGTAGGTGGAGTTTCTGGCACCTGGAACCAAGCTGGAAAGTAGAGGAATTCCCTGAGCCTGAAGTCAGTGCCCACTTAACACCACTGGAAGTGAGAACCCCAAGTGCTCTAGCCAGAAAGTGGGGGGGGGCATGGAGTTCCCTTGGCTGCAGGTGCCATCTAACCTGAGACTAGTCAAAGATGGACATAGGCAGGAAGGTCCTGCCTGAGAATTGGCCCGGTAAGCTGAATTTCCTGGCATTGCTCCTCTAGGAAGAAGTCTTACTTTTAGAGCAGTGAGTACTCTGTGTCTAGAAGCTGATGTGGCAAACCAAACACACACGTCACTTTGAGGCATTGGGCTCCCAATAAAGACACACACGTGGGAGATGAGGGAGAAGAGATAAAGGGAACAGAAACTCGGAGTCATTGAAGCACCCCTCGCAGTGCTTTGCCCCCTGAAGCGGAGGCTCATTCCCGCATCTCTGGGCCCCTGTGAAAGCCCCCTGGCCCCAGGGCACAGGTCGGTCCATCATCACAGAGCTGCACCAGAAAGACGGGCAGTGACTGTTGACTGCTGCATCTTGTCCAGGGAGCAGGGACGCGCGACGGGACCCTCATAAGAAACATCGTTTCGAGAAGTGAGATCGACTTAAATCTCATCAAGTGTCAGTTCACAAAGATGTATGGCAAGACCCTCAGCAGCATGATCGTGGTAAGTCGGGGTCCCCAACTCTACCCCCAGTTTGAAGCAGACATTACTGGGGGACCTGGATACTGGGACTAGAGTCCTACATCACATGTGTCCATGCCTTCCCGGTGGGGGTCACACCCGTGCATTCACAGCCACACAGTATGTATAGAGCTCGGCAAGGGGGTCAGTGTGGCTAGGGCCTGGAGGGGGCTTGGGGGGACGCACAGGGACCAGACCATGGAAGCCCCTGTACTTGGCCCCCAGAGTCGGCTTTGCATTTGAGTTACGCTTGCTCCTTTGGAAAGGACACAATGAACCCTTGCCAAGGAGACCACATCTGAATGTCAATGACAGTGAATAGTTCAGTAGGAATCAGGCAGCAGCCTTTAAAATCCAGACTGATGTAGCCCTTCAGCAAAATCGTGAAGCAGCACGATTTTAAGGAGACAAATCAGATGGGTTCCAGCAGGCTACCTAACCAGATGCCAGTCAGGGAACGTTCTAGAACTGAGAAAACGCACAGTGATCCTCACACCATCACAAGGCCATACTGTTGAGAGAAACAGTTCTTCTAGAAATTAATGCAAATGAGGACTTGACCATATCATTAAGAGAAGTCAAACCTCGAGAAGTACATCCCTGAGTCTTCATTGACCCTTAAGTCAAGTCTGGTTACTCTACAAATGTCTGTTGTCAGCCTCAATTTCCAATAAACACATAACTCACAATATGTTAAAAAGACATTTCTCCCTGAAAACGTTTCAGAAAGGGGTAATGGATAGATGGGAGTGAGGGATGGTAGAATTCTTCTTTGTTTTGTTTTTGGCTTTCCAGCCATTCTGGTCAAAAGACAGGAGGGCTACCCGCAGACCAGCCCAAGCTGCTGATGGCTTTCCCAACACCCAGCCCCGGCAGAGAGTTAGGAATTCTTTCACCCATCCGTGGCTCCTGTGGCCATCACGGAGATTCCTCTACCTTCTCACCACCACAGTTGGATGGAGCCACAGTCAGACTTCAGAGGAACAACCACCCTGAGACGGAAGGATCACTTGGATCCATCCAGGATCCAAGTGGTGGAGTGGATCCAATCACGGTGGAGAAAGGCTTAGCAGTCTATTTATCACATGATCAGTATAATCGATAATGGAGTCCCCTGTCTAGACACACAAGAAGCCCGCCTTCTTTAGGTTTTGCCTACAGATGTCGCTTAAGAAAACTGAGTTGGAATTGTGACTTACGTGGCCAAATACTTTCTTTTTAGTATAGACCACTCTCTATAGATGTCATCAAAGCAAAAATGATTTCCAACAGTGATACTAGCATTCAAAACTCCTGCATAGAAATTAATATGGAAAATTTATAAAAGCCCTATGTATAACCTTATACCCATGCTTTTTTTTTTAAGATTTTTTTATTTATTCATTTGACAGACAGAAATCATAAGTAGGCAGAGAGGCAGGCAGAGAGAGAGGAGGAAGCCGGCTCCCTGCTGAGCAGAGAGCCTGATGTGGGGCTCGATCCCAGGACCCTGGAATCATGACCCAAGCCAAAGGCAGAGGCTTCAACCCACCAAGCCACCCAGGCATCCCTATACCCACACTTTTAAAAAGATAGACAAGATGAATAGTTTTCTAAAAAGCACAAAACAACACAGAAAAAAAATACCTTATTGCAAACATTGTGGAAAGAAAGCAAGGAAGGAAGGGAGGGAGGAAAAGGAGGGAAGGAAGGAAGGAAGGAGGGGAAGGAAGGGAGGAAGGAAGGAAGGAAGGAAGGAAGGAAGGAAGGAAGGAAAGAAGGGAGAGAGAGAGGGAGGAAGAAGGGAAGAAAAGGATAAACTTAAAATGTGGTTGAAAATCTACCAGAATATTTCAGGCCCAAATGATTGCACAAGCTAATTTGACTAAAAGTTAAGGACTAGGTGATTCCCATGAGGCATAAACAACTACAGCACATAGAACAGTGGAACTAGCCCAGCGCCATCACTTGTCATGTGGCCTTGATGAATACCACAGCCTCTTGCTCCCATTTTCCTTAAGCACATAAGAAGGGAGTTGGGTGATATGCCCTCCTCTGTTTCCCCTGGCTCAGTGTGCAGATCTTAAACCAATCAGACCTATCAGGACCTGCCTGACAGCAAGGAGGCATGGTAGACCAGAGAAACGGGGTTCAGCCATGGCCATGTGGGGTCAATCCTACTGGGAGACAGATGCCGCTTGACCCCGAAGTGAGCCAGCCACTGTGTGGGCAAGCCCACGCTTCTGCTGTTTACGCCTCACCACATCTCAGCAAGGCTCATATCAGCATCAGTGTCATTTCACAGACGAGAAGGTGGTGATAGGACTCATCCCAGCTGCGGGGTCAGGGCGTGGTCCAGGTTCTGCATGGACCCAAAGCCGGGCTCTGCCCACTGCATGCCCTGCCTCCACTGGGCACCCCGCAGTTCCCACCTGCAGCAGGAGGTGTTGAGTAAATGACCGGTCATGTCAAATAAACAAATAGTTGGACACTTTGGGGTCCTGAATGGACTAAGGGGCAGAGCCCAGGGGGGCTGGGGGCCGTCAAAATGCCTTCCTTGCTCCAGAGCAGAGCTGTGTCTGTGACTCATTTCCTACATGAAGCTGCCTGGTAGTTAGTAAGAGAATCAAAAGGAGATACAAAGAAGTATCCCCAGATGGCAAACAAGGAAAAACAGGTGGCATCGTGTGGGCCTACAGCATAGGAACTGCAGAGGGACATGCCAGGCCTCTCCCCAAGGAGCAGGACTGTTGTAATAACCACAGCTGGCAAATACCCTTTGTGACTCCCTGTCCCTCCTGTCCTCAGGGAGACACCAGTGGCGACTACAAGAACGCCCTGCTGAACTTGGTGGGCAGTGACTCCTGAAGGCCCGGGATAGAGCAAAGGCCAAGAAGCTGAAGCCACCAGACCCTGCCTGCTCAACCTTGGCCGTGCAATGGGGGGGATGGGGGGAGTAGGGAGCCCCAACTTGCCTTTCAGTCTTCTATCTCCCAGCTTCTGGTGCTTTCAAGTCAGTTCCAAGTATGAGCACAGGGCCAACCCTAGCATAATCTGGCCAGATAAACACTTCGGCACAAGGGGCTGTTTCTTCTTCCCTACCCATGGGTTTTCCTGAGCTCGACGGGTCACAGAGCGACCTGGGCCCCGCTCACACAGATACCCAGCCCCACCCCATCTACTAAATCTAAATCAGGACCTGCAGAGGACAGGCCAGAGGATAAGGAATTTTAACAAGCATCTCAGCAGATGAGCCTCCCTGAAAGGCCACAGGGAGGCTAGGAGAGCCCATATGTTTCAGGGTACACACATGTGAGCCGCCAAGAAAGAAATACATGCATTCCGGCTGACTGGGATGCCACTAATACCCGTTCATCTAAAAACATTAGGATATAGGCAGAATGAAAATTCTCTACCTACAGAGAAAGCTGCACATCAATGTCCCGACCCAAGGGCACTAAGCTCTAAGGGGCCCAGGCTTACCCAGTACTTGCTCAGCGGAGCTGCTTTTTCCTTCCCTGACACAAGCATGGAGCATTTCTTATTCCGACCCGATGCCAAGATGCAGAGACGCCTCTGCTGGTCTTTCCAGAATAATAAATCTTGTACACTTGAATCTAAGTGCCTTTGGATTTCTAGCAGTGACCAGAGCAGGACCAATTTAATTTGTCAGTGTTCATAAAAGAAATGTTATTATAAAGAGCTTCGTGGGGAGGGGGGGAGATGAATCAAACCTGAGCACACAGGTGGACGTTTCCCCATGGGGACACACTGATCAGACTGTGCCCTCTGTACCCTGGGGACAATCGAGTAAATGAGGATCCTTCCTATCGCCTAAATCCTGATCTCTCAGAGGTGGGGGGTGGGGGGTAAAAAGTCTTGTGCTCCTATTCCAACCTGTGGCTTGCTTGTTTCATGGCTTCCATCCAGGGGGATCCAGCTGTCCTCCACTGCCCCCCATGGATGGGGACTCCCAGCCTCCTTGGACAGCCCAGTCTTCTTCCAACAGGAGTGATCTGCAGAGCTCTTCCTTTAACTGAGCCAAACCCTGCCCCAGACAGCCCTCTGATCTCAAGTCCCCATCTAGGGCCACAGTGCCTATTCTTTCCCATCCCCCCTGTCTATCCAAAGACGACCCAGAGATTCCACTAAGACATCTTCTGTCAAAGCTAAACTTCCCCTGTCCCTTAACTGTCCCTCCCAGAGCCTGGTTTGGGGCTACATCCTCTGAACATGTTCTAGTTTGCAAACTCCCTCTTAAAGTATGACCCTGAGGAGTCAGGCAGATCCGAGAGATGGCACAGTGGACCCACTGAGCTCACACAGGTGAGAAGTAGGCTCCAGTTCTGCCCTGTGCTGGCTGTATGACTCTGACCTAATCACTTCCTCTCTTCCTCTGAGCTCGATTCCCTCAACTTTCAATGCAGGAATTCAGTCCCAGTTACTTGCTGCATTTCAAACCACCCTAAAGCTGGTATAAAACCATCATTTTACGATGGTCATGGGTTCCACAGGTTAGAAATTCAGTCAGGGCCCAGTGCAGATAACTCAGCTCTTCTACGGCAAGTCTGGGGGCTCCGTGGGGAAGACCCAAAGGTTTGGTGGAACTCTAAGGCAGGATCCTGAAGTCATCTGGAGGCTTCTTTCCCCAAGGGCTGGAAGGCTAAGCTCAGCTGGAACTGTCCGCCAGCACTCCAACATGCAGCCTTCCCGGTACGCAGAGGGTCGCGGGGCTCCGTACATGGCAGGTCAGTGCCGCATGGCCTTCTGGGAGGCACCTCGAGTAGCACACAGATCACATCCACGTGCCCTGTCAAAGACATCACAGGCCAGCCCAGCTTTGAGGGAAGCAGACACAGTCCTCAGCTGTCCACAGGAAGAAGGTCAAAGAATGAGAGGCCATTGTCTTAAGTCCACAAGTGGTTTAAGTACTTGAACAACGGGTGTAGAATCCCTGAGCCATGAGTGCAGCTGTGGGTGGGCCCGAAGCAAGGTCCCAGAGGCCCCCCAGAGCGTGCTTAGTATGACCTGTGTGGCCCCAGGCCAGCCTCTCAGGGGGTCCTGATGCTTTAATTTTTTTTTTTTTTAATTCAAGTCCTGCCCTGAACTTTCTTTCTGTGCTGAGTCGCTGAGTCACCTTCTGCCTTTAAAAAAGACTTAGAGGATTTCTCTGCCCTGCAATCCCTCTGGTACACCCACTCTCTGGGCACTCTCCATCCCAAAGCTAGCCTGAGGCGGCCAGATGGGAGCCTCCAGAAAAGCTGGAGCCAAGCAGACAGCTCAGGAAACTCTGTTGTGCCCAGCTAGTGGCCGGCAGGGGAGCAGGTTTCAGCGGAACCGTGCAGTTCATCCCTCATTTCAGCTGAGCAGAACGGAGCTCCCTCTGGCCACAGAGGGCAGAAGCAGGTCTCCTGAGATTACAGAGAGGCTCTCTCCCCCTGGGGTGACAGCTAGAGCAGCACGGGTGGTCCTGTGGCCTCCCCGGGAGGTGGCTCCTGTCTAGCTGAGGTAGCAGCTGGGGACGGGAGCCCTGGCTGGCAGAGGGACTTGGCCAGGACACTGAATGTGTCCTCAGCACCTCCAAATCCTTTTTGCTGGAATAACCTTTTGAGCATTTCTGATAAAACAGACACAGTCCTAAGGTACTTTTATAATTGCTCTGGGATTTTTTCTTTTCTTTTCTTTTTTACTTTTAATGCACCCGTCTCTTTAAAGAGAATTTGGAGTCCGCTCCATTTGAATTCAGCAGAAGAGAAAAATGAGAAGCTAGGAGGTCCCTGCTTGCAGCCTCACCACAGGTCTATAATGAGAACGATTGTTTCCTAACTCTCTACAGAAGATTATATACTCATAAAAGCCCTTTCTATTCTCAAATCCAAGATGCCGCATAACTTCGAAACTGGACCTGCTCGCTCCCTTAGCAACACCAGCTAGTTGCAAAGAAAGACCTGTTCTAGTGCACTGAGTTCAGGGTTCGTCCTACGGCATGATTTGAGGCAAAATTTTCATCTGACACAGGATCCTGGGAGTTATCCAACAGCTGCTCATAAATTCCTTTTCCACTTAAACTATCCAGAAGGGAAGCTCTTGTGAGCAATTCAAAAGTCTCTCAGTTACGAAGAATCCGTGCCCTTATGGCACCAGAGGATAATTACCTGTTTCGGCCTCTCCCTCAAAAAAGCTGGGAGCCAGGAGAGCAAGAACCTGGTTTCACTCATTCCTGAACATTCAGTGCCTATCGTGCCACAGGTCCATGATGAATATTTTTTTTAAGATTTTATTTATTTATTTAACAGACAGAGATCACAAGTAGGCAGAGAGGCAGGCAGAGAGAGAGGGGGAAGCAGGCTCCCCGCTGAGCAGAGAGCCCGATGCGGGGCTCGATCCCAGGACCCTGGGATCATGACCTGAGCTGAAGGCAGAGGCTTTAACCCACTGATCCACCCAGGCGCCCCACCATGATGAATATTTTTGAAAGAACAAAAACAAACAAGATGACAGGCTTGGAGGATGGAAGACCCATCTAGCCAGGACACCTGAGCCCATCCTTCCTCATGTCTCATTCTGAGAAGACACGCGGCCTCTCGGACTCTCCTCAGAGTGAAGCCTACTCAGCCAGCCCTACTGAAAACGGCCCCAGAAAGATCTAAGGGGGAGTGTGCCTACTTGGCCCTATTTCAGGCTTAACACCACATGACAAACAAACCCATCAGGACCCACCCCGGCCTGAGCCCCTTTGGAAATGCTCGCCGCTCCCTGCCACCAAGCACCAGTCCAGTGGGGTATGCAGACACGGCCAGAAGCAGACCCGTGCCCACCAGCATCCCTTCATGCTGCTGGAGGGCAAGGGCTAGCCTGTGGGGCTTGGCCTCTTTCGGGTTTATCCTTGAGCAGAGGAAGGGCCACCTCACTGAGAATTGAGTGCTTGGGCAAAATCAGGATCATCTCAGCAAAGGAGTAAACGGGGAAACGGATCTGCACTTAGCACCCATCCAACACTTCTGTTACCATGCCCACGCATTGTACCTGCCGCCAGGTCGGGGCTAACCAGGGACGGCTTTGTAAGGAAGGTGATGTATGAGCAGAGCCTTGAAGGATGACTAGGTGCTTCTCAGGTAGACTAGAGAGGGGACCACAATCCAGGGCCGAGGGAGGAATACAAACACAGCAGGGCCTCTGGCCTCCTTCAGATTATAGGAATGGTATGCTCAGGCCTCCTGAGGGGGCGGGGGAGTCCAAGATAAAGGTGTTTTCAGGGGGCAAGTCAGGGCAGACTCGAGCTATCAGATGGAGAAGCTCCAAGTATTTCCAGGGACAAGGGGATCTTTTAAGGGGTCAGGCAAGGGAGCATCTGGGAGGGATCTAGGGAAGATTCCTGGCAACACCGCAGCAGAGGAGTCTGCCTGCGTGAGTCTGGAGGTAGGGAGCCCCACGTGGAGACCTGTCCCACAACCCTCCAGCCTAGTCCTCTATGGTCCTGAGGCACTCCTCCAGGAGGAGGCTGGCCTGGCCACTATAGTTCTGCTGTAGCCCCAGGCCACCGCATCTTTGACCCCGTGGTGAGGAGCAAAGCTGACTGTCTCGCCTCCCACCTTAGCACATTCAGAGCTGAACTTGCTCAGAGGGCCCTGGGCCTGCGCGCGAGGGTCCAGGGATTTTCATGGCCCATGTAGGTGTCCAAGCTCCCCCATGGGTTTGGGCCAAAGCGGGCCCTGTGTGACCATGCCCCATTGGCCTGGGACTACCTTTGTTCCTCTCCCAGCCCCTTGCTGGCTGTTGGGCTCTCATCCAGTACCATTCTGGGGCCCCCAGCTTGGAGGGAACACCCTTGTGGGCCCTTCCACAGCACAGGTGAAGGCACCGCTCCGACCTCCTCCCCACCTCCCCATATGACCATACAGGACTTAGAAAGCACCCCCCACCCCCGCTGCCCCTCAAGAGCCAGTACTATCGCCTTTGCTGCAGGGACCCAGCGGGGCATCCATGCTGCAGGCAGCTCCAAGCCGGCCTAGAAACCTGCTCACACAGTGCCCTCTTGTGGCTGCAGGGTTACCCGTCAGCCTCGGGGCAGACACCCACT